TGTGAAAAACTTGCATGGGAAATTTTTTAACCTCCCACATTTCTAATATGAAGGCACATAAATTACTCTTGCATAGAAGTAATGTAGTAACTGAGGAGCAGGTACTGGTATGTGGACTGTGATAAAAGACATTTCTTTTCTCACTTCCAAGAACACTGTAAGAATACCAGGCTTCTGCCTGTAATACTGTAGAAGTATCTGGGGGAAATTTGAGATACTCTCTGGATCTCAGGATAAATTAGCTCCTTGAAAATGCCATTTCTTTGGACCCAGTCTTGGTCTCCATCTTATTAGTAAAAGACTATCCTGTGGCTCAGGAAGACTTATTCTTGCTTATTGCCCGTAGTCTAGGTATATATAGCTTTCCATATGTTTGTACCTTGAAGGATGTATTCATGTGACACTAGACTATTTCTCTAATTGCTAAGCTACATCAACCCCGCTGTCTCATTACATTTCAGACAGTACTATTGATTGGCCTACTCTATAGTGTATTTGAGGTAGTGTGTATAATTATTTGAGTGGCTCATGACTTCTAGCAATAGGAATGATTCACATTTGGGCAATGACTTCTCTAAAAATAAGAACTTACTTTTATATCATTTTTCTCTAACTTTTCCATATTCAGTATTTAATTTTTAAAGAAAATGTATAGAGAACAGTCTTATAAATGCCATCTGAAGAAAATGAGAATTTAGCTTATTACATTAATAGGATTGTGTCTTGGGCACAGAGTTTCAAAAGCTCTTCCACTAGATATGGGCACGGAAAGGATGCTTGTCTAGGCCTGGTGCCATGTCTCCAGAATCCAGGGGCGTGCTTGGAGCCAGCATAGAACCATTCCCAGCCTGGGGAGGTATCTGCAGTAGATCAGCTGTCCTGACTCCAGCTTTCTTTACAGCTTCTACCCACAGAAGCCTCGAGTTAGATTTTATAGCAGCTATTTTTTTAAATTCTAGTTTTAAAGAATTAAAGTGTGATTAACATAAGGTAAAATGCATAAATGATAAGTATTCAGCTTGTTGAGTTTTGACAATGTATATACTTGTATATCCATACCTAAAAAAGATACAGAATATTTCTTTTACCCCAGCAAGTTTCCTCTTGCCCCTTTCCAGTAAATTTTCCCATCACTCATCCACAAAACATCCATTTTGTGATTTCTACCACTATGGTTTATTTCGGTCTGTTTTTGTACTTCATTTAGAGAGAATTATACAGAAGACATTACTTTGTGTCTGGCTTCCTTCACCTAACATAATTTTGTCAGATTCATGCATGTTGCTTGTATCAGTAGTTTACTCTTTTTTAATTTTATTTATTTATTTGACAAAGAGAGAGCACAGGCAGACAGAGTAGCAGGTAGAGGGAGAAGGAGAAGCAGGCTCCCCACTGAGCAAGGAGCCCAACATGGGACTTGATCCCAAGACCCTGGGATCATGACCAGAGCTGAAGGCAGCTGCCCAACCAACCGAGCCACAGAGGCACCCCAGTAGTTTATTCTTTTATTTTTTTTAAAGATTTTATTTCTTTATTTGACAGAGATCACAAGCAGGCAGAGAGGCAGGCAGAGAGGGGTCGGGGAAAGCAGGCTCCCTGCCGAGCAGAGAGCCCCAGGTGGGACTCAATCCCGGAACCCTGGGATCATGACCTGAGCCAAAGGCAGAGGCTTAACCCACTGAGCCACCCAGGAGCCCCCCACCAGTGTTTATTCTTTTTATTGCTGCGTATATTCTGTCATATGGACATACAGCAGTTTGCTCAGTATCTCCTGTTAATGAACATTCGTGTTGTTTTCAGTTGTGGCTACTGTGAATAAGACTACTTTGAGGGGCGCCTGGGTGGCTCAGTGGGTTAAAGCCTCTGCCTTAGGCTCAGGTCATGATCCCAGGGTCCTGGGATCGAGCCCCGCATCGGGCTCTCTGCTCGGCGGGGAGCCTGTTTCCCTTCCTCTCTCTCTGCCTGCCTCTCTGCCTACTTGTGATCTCTGCCTGTCAAATAAATAAATAAATAAAAATCTTAAAAAAAAAAGACTACTTTGAACATTCTTGAGCAAGTCTTCTTGTGGACATCTGCTTCTATTTCCTTGCATAAATACTTAGGAATGCAGTTGCTAGTCATAAGGTAGATTCATAGTTAACCTCATCGGAAAATACCCCAAATTGTCTACGATAGTGGTATGATTGAGCTCTTCCACTAACAACATTTAAGGGCACAAATTAAGCAGTGTCCATTTTTTCCCAATTCTTTTCTCATGCAAGAAACTTTAAGGGAATAAATTGCAAGGGTTCAATGCATTAAATTAGAAAAACCAATGACTCTGAAAAGAAACCACAGTCCAGATGTTTATCTCTCCCATCATATCCAATTTTATTTATTTATTTATTTATTTATCACATTTTAAAATAAATAAATAAATAAAAACACAGCAAGAGAGGGAACACAAGCAGGGGGAGTAGGAGAGAAGTAGGCTTCCAGTAGAGCAGGGAGCCTGATGCAAGGCTCAATCCCAGGACCCTGGGATCATGACCTGAACCAAAAGCAGCCCCTTACCAACTGAGCCACCCAGGCACCCCACATCCAGTATAATTTAAATCAGATTATTTTGGTGTATAAATTAGCCTATGGGTATAAGTTAGTTTTATGCAGTTTTCTCTGTGTGCTGGAGTTAACTCTTACACTGAGAGAACCCGGCCCAGTGCATCTTACAGAATTATCTACCCACTTATCCTTTCTATTCACATAGGAATGGGAAAATATCATATTAAGGAACTTCTTGTATTTCATTCCTGGAACTTTTGTAGTACTATCTTGTATAGGCCCTCACAAGTTTCAACAGTTAATGCTATCTGATATTTATTAATACAAAATGTGAAAATTTCCAGAAGGTGCTTTTCTGTATTTTACTTTCCATATTAATTCTCTTAGACTCTCAAAGATTTAATAACTCATTTTATTTTTCTTTTTTAAATTCATAAAATCCAAGTATGTAAGATTTTCTTCTATTTCCCATTTAATTTTAATAAGAGCATAAAATACACGTGACTAAACAGTAGTTATATATGTTTTTTGAAACCAAAAAAACCCCAAAACTGTTGAATTAAAAATGAAGTACTAGACAATGAAAAATATGGCTGAATTTTGTTCTACAATTATCACGGGAAAAGTTACATCACACAGAAACACACACACACACACATGCACAAACACCAAATGTTCTTATGAGGCAATAATGTCCATGTTTTTCAAATTACTTGTCACTGATACTGCATCATACCCATGATGATTTCACACCATTTTTGAGATCTCAGGAGTGATCTTTTAATGCAACTGTAGTTGTTACTGCAAAACCATAGATTATTTTAAAGTTTTCAGTATAAGCCTACATTAACTATGCTATGAAATTAGATAACCCATTGATGGATTATAAATGAAAACATCAAATATACCACTATTTTAGAGCCATAATTTCAGGAATTTTTATATTTAATGGCAATTAAGGAAACTATCACTTTTCAAGGTAGTCATCAGTAGTGAACAATGGCTACCCATCAACAACATTTGGACTGTATTGATCAAGAAGACAGCAGGCATATACAGGCTCTTAAGATGAACTTAAAAATCTGCATTCTGGGGTGCCTGGCTGGCGCAGTCAGATGGACAAGGGACTCTTGGCTTTGACTCAAGTTGTGATCTCAGGGTCATGAGGTAGAGGCCCCTGCCAAACTCCATGTCTCTGAGCACGGAGTCTGCTTGAGATTCTCTTTCTCCTTCTCCCTCCACCCTCACAGTCGTGCTCTCACTCTCTCTAAAAATTTTTTTTTTAAATCTGTGCATGCTCACTTAATGTTTATTTTCTTTTATTTTAAAGATTTAATTTATTTTGTTTGACAGGGAGAGATTGAGCACAAACTGTGGGAGAGGCAGAGGGAGAAGCAGACTCCCCACTGAGCAGGGAGCCCAATGCAGGACTCAATCCCAGGACCATAGGATCATGACCTGCACTGAAGGCAGATGCTTAACGGACTGAGCCACCCAGGCGCCCCAGTTCTGGCTTAATGTTTAAAAACCAGTAGTTTTGATTTTGCCACAATGTCTATGAGTTCTAAAGGAGGAAAAAAGTAAATGTTTTATCCCCAGAAGTGCCTGATGATTTTTAATGTAATACGGATATTCAATAGGAAAAAGAGAACTTGTATGTAGTGAGTGGCCAGAAAAATCCCTCTTTTGGATAAAATGTAGCAACCTACCTAGTAGAGGGGTGGCTAAACAAATGGAAAAAAAATGTCTAAGCTGCTTAGGAAAGGAAAATGCTACAGATGTAGCCGGGTGTGATATCCACTAGGGCTCCAGCTCTTGAAACCCGTGTTCAGCCTCCAGGACTGTGATAGGCCAGCCACCCTGGGGTCACTATTCAGAGGTAGAAAACGGGAGTCATTGTTCCTGGCAGGAGGCAGCAGACTGTAATTCTCAGGGGGTTCACCCAACGCTATTAAACAGTCCACACCACCCTTCAGGAACTGCGTTCTTGAACCTCTACAGCGCCACCCCCCCCACCGCCCCGCCCCAGCCCTATCCCCTCAGTGACAGCTCAGGTGGAAAGTATCAAGATTCAGAAACTGTCCCAGCTTAAACTCCTCATATCCTCAAGCCTAGTTTGTAGGATTCCCACAAGAGATATGTTTATAGGAGTTACTGTACTCAGGCAAGCTCAGAATCATTGTTTCCAAACAGGTATTTTATAATTTTTTCAGTCCAGTTGCAATCTACCATTTTTACCATAAGCAATGTCGCTTAGCAACACAGTTACCACAAACCACCTTATCTGGTTACCAAGGAAACAGAGCTAGGAAGGTCAAATTCTCCTGCAGGAAGGGAAGGGGTTGTGTTAATCCATTACCTACATCTGGTATCATCCACAAAACTGTGAAATCAAGTTGAATTTGTGATGTGGGATGTGAATATGATCTAATTCCCTTCTGTGATTTTTTTTCCCCTAGAGCTAATGTACACAGTTGAACTTGCTGGAGGCCTTGGTGCTATCCTTCTGCTTCTTGTTTGCTTGGTGACCATCTACAAGTGTTACAAGATAGAAATCATGCTCTTCTACAGGAATCATTTTGGGGCTGAGGAGCTGGATGGAGGTAAGATAAGTTCCCTCTTTTTAACATTCTCTCTCAATATTCTTATTTGTTTTCTGCCTTTGTTTTATTGAGGGGCAAGAAAATGCCCTGCCTTACCACTAGCAGCAGCTCTTACCATCTTTCCATGTTCAGTGGTTGTAAATTCATCTTTTACACAGAACTGTGTATGTGATGCTTTGGAGCCAATAGGTAATTTCCTCTGACAATTGTAAAGCAACACCTACCCTTTTTAGAATCCACTGCCAAGTAGCACTTGCGAATTACAAATGCTGATTGCAGCTATCAGTGTTCCTTTTCTCTCACCTTGTAATCAGTAGTGAAAGGCCGGCTTTACTTTTCTATAGGTGAGGAGGGCCTCTTTTAATTGTGTTCCCTAGCCCCACGGTTTGAAGTGAATCTCCGTTTGTCCCTTGCGTAGACTGACCAGCTCTAATAAACTGTGCTGAGTATTTTAGAATCCATAGCAGTCTTTCCAAGCCTGTTTATATTATATAGCTATATTTAGACAGACGAATTTTTATTCCAAGTGTGGACCAACAGATAATACAGTGCCCAAGCACATTATTTTCATATGAATACATCTACTATTTTTCCTTGAATTGGACGAGTAAATATTGTTTTCCTGGAAATCATAATAAAGATCTGCCCCTTCTGGTCAGTTGTGACTCTGTGCGCACTCTAAGAGGAATTTGGGGGTTCTTAAAATGGAGGTCCATGAACTACCCATTCGAGAACTTAAGGTTTTCTTTTTTTTCCATTTTGGTTATTCGAGAGTGATCTGTACATAAGATAAATTTGCAGTAGAGGAAGCATGTGCAAACTCATACACACAGTCCACATGGTAACAATTTCTTGATCATACTTACACGTTTCTTTTTTTTTTTAAAGATTCTATCCATTTATTTGACAGAGAGATTACAAGTAGGCAGAGAGGCAGGCAGAGAGAGAGGGAAGCAGGCTCCCCACTGAGCAGAGAGCCCGATGTGGGGCTCGATCCCAGGGTGTTGAGATCATAACCTGAGCCGAAGGCAGATGCTTAACCCACTGAGCCACCCAGGCGCCCCATACATTTCTTTTTCATGATTGCCACTTCTGCACTAAGTGGTACAAAGGAAAATGAAGGGATCGGCCATGTTCCTACCTTTCTAGGATCCTGTGGACTAAATCCACAGGTAGCATTGTGGGTGGTCAGGCTTGTGAACAGGACTAGTTTACACAGGCTGTGTAAACTTTTGCCCATCCCATGAGGGTGAAGTCCGTGCCCGCAGCATGTCCGGGGCATTTTACATTTTTAAGTGCTGATTTGTACTTGTTCCTAACTTTCTTCCCTGCATGAGCAGAGTATTAAATTTTGGGGCTACTCCTGGGGCGCCTGGGTGGCTCAGTGGGTTAAAGCCTCTGCCTTCAGCTCAGGTCATGGTCCCAGGGTCCTGGGATCAAGCCCCGCATCAGGCTCTCTGCATGGCAGGGAGCCTGCTTCCTCCTCTCTCTCTCTCTCTGCCTGTCTCTCTGCCTACTTGTGATCTCTATCTGTCAAATAAATAAATAAAATCTTTTAAAAAAAAATTTTTTGGCTACTCCTTCAAAGAGATATTAGAAAATTGTCAACGTCAGGGCTATTGTTGGATGAGTACCAAAAAAAGTGCTAGGCATTCTTAAATCATTCTTGTTAAGGCTCAAAAACTTCTGAGGTCAGTATCACAATTTCCATTTTACTGATAAGGCAACTAGGGCTCCCAGAGGTTAGATAATGTACTGATGAAGATAACATGAGCATTACTATAAGTGGCCAAGATGGGATTTGAAAATAGGTCTATATCCAAAATATATATTTTATTGAATCCTGAGTCCCTACTGTTTCATGTCTTTTAAAAATTTAGTCTGTTCAGTATAATGTAAAGATCTGATGTTGTTTGTACAGTTTGCATAGTAGGAGATGTTTGAAAAAGCAGATTAGCTGAGCATCTCACTTGATCTATTAACCCTATTTAAAATATGTTTAGTTTGTGTTCTGAATGAAATGAATGATTTCCCCAAAACTATCTATATCCAGTGCAGTTTTTCTTTGTCATGTTCTGAATGGTAGAAGATTCTGGAGAGTTTACTTGCCTCTAAACCTTAGTCACATCCCCTTAGATCTTTCTACACGTGTTATTATGGTTGAATAATTATCTACTCTTCCATTAGTGGAAAATTTCTTTGACATCATCACATTCCCATTCTTCATAGGTCTCCCACAATCCTTTCTTCTTCCAAAGAAAACATAACTGTTAAGAAGAGACCCCAGGCTTTTCATATTCTTGACTTGGCTTAAAAAATGTAATCCAGAAGTCAAATTTTAGTGATGCCTTCTTGATTCTTGGCCACAACATCAGCTCCCCTAAAAGGGGAATATATAAAATACTCTTGGATATAAGGAAAGGCAAAGAGTATGAAAAAGAATAGGGAAAGTTTAGTTAATATTTTGAAACAATGTCTCACTCTGTGATATGATAGATTCATTGACTATTTATTAAATACCAAGTACTGTGTTGGCTACTTGGTTGATACTCAGAGAATTACACAGCTAGAAAGACAGAATTTAAGCCCAGGTCCAAATACCTCCAAATTCCAAGAATTTCAGCCATTGTGTCAGTCTGGTATATGGAGTAGTTGGTGTCAGGAACACACCCATGCAATTCCTTTTGGGTCATCAGGATAGGCATTCCCTGGCTTTATCAGTTCTGTGTCAGAAAGATTCTGTTTTTCCAAGATAGAATACATTGATGATTTGTTCCCTTGGTTTGTTCGCCTCACGCTTTGTTTCCTTCTATGTAATTTTACATTTTATTGTTTCCTCTGGATCCAGGTCTTACCACTTCTCATTCTACAATACCCCCTTTTCTGGATCACACTTAACAACCCTATCTTCAATTGCATTAGTGTGTAAATAGCCCTTAAGTCTAAATGTCCTTCTCCTAGTTCTCTTAGTTTTTATCACCTAATTGTACCTCTTGAAAATAGACTGTTTCCTCACTCAATTGCTCCTCCTTGTCCAAGTCTCCTACACTACCTTCTTGGTCTTCATTCTCCAACCTTCCATTTTATCCTCCACACTCAGCCAGAATTTTCTTTTTAAGTACACATTTACTGTGATTGTTAGGAAAAAGAAACATGCCTGGATGCTCCTGCCAGAGCAGGTCCAGGCTTTTTAGTTCAGGAAACAACTGCTGCGGCAGGGTGACCCAACTTAAATTGTTGCCTTGCCACCTCTGTGGAATCAGACTATGCAGAGTTCCAGTTAGAAGGAGATGCTGGCATAATTCTAAGATCTTTTTAGGTAAATGAGGTAACTGTAAATGATTAGGGTCAGGAGAAGGTTAACTACTCTCCCACCACCTTGGTTCCATTACATACTGGAAGAAAATTTGGACAAATTCTGTTGTATATGCCTTTATTAACAAACAAACATAGACCCCATCCTGTAAACTGGAAGACATTCCGGCTGTCTGTTGTGCATGTGTGTGTCTGTGTGTGTTCCCTAAAAACTTACAAGAAAGTTTCCCCTGAGGTACATGTGACAATATATCAGTGGCAGGATTAGGCTCATTATGTAATGACATCTAAGAATAATCTTCCTCTGAACACAGGACCATTTTGGAATCATGTCTGGAAAAGTTTCCCTAAGGGGGCAGGGCCAATGGCCCCACTAGATGCTTGCAGGGGAGTGATGTGTCTCTATATTATGTTAAGTAATCCAAGTGTCTTGAATAGCACTGATTTTACCACGGAGAGCTGGTTTCCAAGATCCACTATATTTAGTAAAAAGCCACTAATTTTAGAAATCAAATCTGATTTCTAATATCCACTGTGCTAATTAACAAAGTGTCTACTTTTGATTAGAACTAGTGATAGTCAAAGCACTTGTAGAGGCTTCCTCTGGGGTGTTGCCTTATTCTAATGAAATACCAGCTGACCATCCTGATAAAAGCAACCTGCTGTCTCTAGAGCAGAACTTACACTAACACAGTATATCAATGTCTGTCCTAGAATAAGTACAAAGAAAATACAGTTATCATGACAACATCCAAGTCCTTCCCTTCTCCATGCCTCTGCCAGGGATTTCCCTTACACTTTGTTTAAAGCTTATATAAAGGTAGTCCTTCCTTCCTTCCCTCTTCCCTTCCTTCCTTTCTTCCTTGCTGGCTTCCTTCCTTCCTCCCTCCCTTCCCCCACCCCACACCTCTCTTCCTTCCTTCCTTCTGCCCTCCCTTCCTTCAACTCTTTTTTCCTTCATCTCTTCCTTCCTTTCTTTCTTCCGGTCTCTCCTTCTCTCATACACAGTTCATATTTTCCCTCTGAGTTCTAAAGATTTCCTTTATCATCCCAAGGTCCAGTTATTTTCTCCTTCATCTTTACAAAAATGGCACTTTAGACACATCTTAAATAGTCCTTTTGCTTTTGAGTAATGAGAGCTCACTAGTGAATGCTTACTACTGGTAGAGACTGTGATTTCAAGATTCCTTGTCATTGGGGCACCTGGGTTAAGCCTGTGCCTTCAGCTCAGGTCATGATCTCGGGGTCCTAGGATTGAGTCCCGCATCTGCTCTCTGCTCAGCGGGGAGCCTGCTTCCCTCTCTCTCTCTGCCTGCCTCTCTGCCTACTTGTGATCTCTGTCTGTGAAATAAATTAAAATCTTTAAAAAAAATCCCTTGTCATTTAACTTATTTCAGTTAAAAAAAAGTCTCAAAGACCAAGTCAAGAAGTAAAGAATTATTACTTCAATTTTTGAAAAATTGTCTAGATTTTGGGACTGGCTCTGTAAATAAAAATTGTAATAGACATATACATATAAAGAAAAACAAGGTTGTAAAGTCATAGATAGTCCGTTAATAGGAGAAAACAAGAAACACCAGCTCCCCTACATGATGATTATCATATTGATAGATGTTGGTAAGGTAGTGCATAAGTTTTCACTAGGAAGTAACTTATGTGAGCAAACTTAAGGTTTCATTTTGCGG